TTAACTCAGGAACTTCTTGCCTTGGTAATTCAGCCAATGTTGGTAAACGGGTTTTGCACTTGGGACAAAGTTGCTTTCGATTGTCAATACTTTGTTCTCCACAGTTAAGACATCGTTTATCACAGCGACTACTAGATCCTATATTAGCTACCAAAGAATCAATAGCATTAGTGGTAGACGATTTTTCTTCGCATAATAGTTCAAGAATTTCAGCAAGATAATTATTTAATTCTTGATCTATTGCTTCTTGCATCTCTGATGTAATTTCAAAAAGATCTTCGTATTGATGCCTGCTAAGAGAACTCAATGCCCAAGGTAAATTAGTATATTGAATACGATTTTGAGGATCCATGTTAAAAACAGCAAAACTAGTCACAATATGAAATATCACCGTATTCATTCTGTGATCAAGATAGTTATGCTGGCCTTTTTGTTCATTATCAAAAGCTATGAACAGAAATCCTTCAGGTAAAGGTTCTTCTTTTTCTGACAGTTCGTTCAACCAGCTTTGAAAACGAGAATAACCACCCGAGCACGTAATATGGTTATCAACATTAATTATAGTTTTCGAGCGAGCAATAGAATACTTAATAGCCGACACAACAAGATTTATTTCCGATACGTATTTCCCGTGCCTGGACCTGTATATTAAATCGACAGCCATTGCTTGTTTAAAAAGTTTTTCGATACTTAAAGAATCTAAATTGAAATTATTGTGAGTTAGTGTCTCGATAAATTTTACAATGACTGGATTGCGTTTACTTAGCCATGTTTGAGGAGTATAAGTTAATAGGTTTTCAAAAGAAAACCTATTACTATTTTTGATCAGAAACTCAATATCTTCATATAAATATTCTCTTTCGAGCTACGCGATATTAATGACTTCTTGTATATGTTTATCCCGGTCGCTATGTCGAGAATTTCACTGTTCAACGAGTTCTTCATTCGCTTTACATTGTTTTTAGTACAGATCCTCTAATCTAGTTATCTCTTCACAATATTTGCCTATTCTTTTTTTTAACTCAATTATTTCCCCATTTTGAGTTTCTATTTGCACCAATAATTCTGTAATTACGTTAGCGAAATTTTCTACACCTTCGCTATTTTCTTGACTTCTCAATGGACCTTCAGTTTTTTTAAGCTCTATTCGTAAATGTGACTCGCCATGAATTCTGGAACTAGAGTTAGAAAGAGAATCAGAAATAAAATCG